ATGAGAGTTTTCCCTTCTGTACAGGTAATGTTGACTTTTTTATTCACCACTATAAATAGAATGATGATGTATGGATGTACTGGAGTTTATTCTCATATTTGTTTTGGAGGATTGGTAACATTTAAGGGGAATGATTGGTCAAACTATTGCCTGTAGCTTGTTATAGAAGCAACTAGATTATGAGCGAGTTCATAACCTTGTACATAAAGCATTGATTTAAACTTTCTTTACAAAAAAAATTTTCGGGGGCGCTGCCCCCGAACCCCCGCCACTAATTGTGCGGACATAAACATAATATCCTGGGTCCGCCACTGATCATCACCATCACCACCATCATCCCAACACAACCACCGCCACCATCGTCGTCGCCGCCATCGTACCCCTAGTGTTGTCGTAACCACCACGATGCCACCTCCACCCATCACTACCATCATGCCACCACCACCACTACTACTACTATCACCATCACCACCACCATAATCGCAACCACTGTCGCCATCACCACCACCACAACGGCACCGCTACCATCACCACCACTATCATTGTCGCAGCCACCACCGGCACCGCCGCCAGTACCAACCACCACCACCATTGTCACAGCCGCCGGTACCAACCATCACCACCATCGTCACCGCCACCGCTGCAGCCACTGCCACCACCACCTCCATAATGTCATCACAACCACCGCTACCATTGTCAACGCCACCAACCACCATCCCCACCACCATTGTCGTCACCTCCACCACCACCATCCCCATCACTATCGCCGGCGACGCCACCATTATCACTGCCATCGCCGCAGCCACTGCCTTCACAACCACCATCACCACGTCACTACCGCCCCCACCATCACCACGTCACTACCGCCCCCACCATCGTACCGCCACCACCATGCCACCACCGCCGCCACCACCACAACCACACCATATGAAAAGGAAAGTGATGATCCGAATTTTTTTATATTTAATAGAAATTATTTTTTATTATATTATTTGCCATGTTATTAAACGCAATTCTCATTCTCAAAATAAAAATAGAATATGTCATCAAACACATTTTTTTCTCTGAAACTGTTCCAAGGAACAGAAATAGAAAAGAATTGTTTCTTTTCAGAAACAGTGCTAGAGAATAAAATCGTTGTCATGCACACCCTTAAAGTATAATTTTTTTTTGGTAATCTACTTAAAGTATAATTTATAATAAGGAATAGCATACATAGATAAAATAAAGTGATTGATTATCATGTAATGTTGATATTACGTTTAAAAAAAATACTTATTTTATTTTAAATTTTAAATAGATAAAAAATTAAATTTGACCAAAATAAATAAATATTTAATCAATGCAAAAGATTTTTTTTTTGTTGCAAAAATACATGCCCTTGTCTTGATGCCAAGAAAAATGTTTAAAAATTCAAAAAAGTCAAAAGAAAAATGTTAATTAACCTCACATCTCTTCCTTTGATTTATCCCAAACATTCACACATACCCTAAAAAAGTATCAATTTTTTCCATTCTTACACTCATAAAAAATAGGGAAAATTTCCTATTCCGGATAAAAGACACCCAGCCCGTTCTAATCCAGTGTCTCTCATGAACAATAACTCCACAAAAAAATCCTGCCCCTGTGAGTTGTTTATATATCATGAAACTTCATTACATTAAATATAATATCAATTTAATATTTTTTAATTTAATTTGAAGCGTATAATGATTTTAATTTATTAAAATTTAAAATACGTATTTTTTTATTTACACACTTTGAAAATACTTTAGTTTAAAATATTTTTCTATTTTTTTACAACAACTCTGTGTTATGCACACCATAATAGCAACAGAAATGTCCAAAGAACATATCACATGCCTCATTATTGTGGGCCATCTCACATAAGAACGAGTTAACGCTACTTCTGCATCTTGAAGCCTTGGCCCATTTTGCCTTTTTTTTATTTTGGTAAGCTACCCGTTTTGCCTTAGGGGGCGTTTGGTTGAGGAAATGTTTTTGGAATAGTAGGGAAATGAGATAGATAGAGAAATGATTGGAAAGATAGATAAAGTGAGATAGCTAGAAAAATGTAAAAAAAAGTTGTTTGGTGGGGAAAAACTTTACTGGGAAAATTATGTAACTTTATGAAATCAACAGTGCATTAAAAGCCAGATAACCGGTTTTCCGAAAAATCCCACCTTCAAATTGGGTTTCTAAACAGTGCGGATATCTATGTTTCTCATAAATCCAGACAAATTGGATAGATGGGTTTTTGGTGAAAAACTTTGAAACAAACATGGTGTTTCTAAAAGCCATACTTGAGAAAGATAGATATCCCCTAAAAAGCTTTCAACCAAACACCACCTTAAACAAAACTTTATCCAACAGCCCGCTCTAAATAACAATAGAGAAATACATATGTCATGTGATAGGAAAATGTTTAGGTCATGTTATAGATACAATTAATGTGGATCTTATCACTTGCTTTTCTTTTCATTTCTTTTTTAAAAGTGATGGGGTCCACATTAATTGTGTTTATAACATAACCTAAACATTTTCCTACAAGAGGACATAACTATTTCCAATAACAATATTAAAGATGTTGTATTTATAAAAAAATTCTTAAAGATAATATCAAGGGAGAGTTATTAATTCTTAAAGATGGGGGCCCAGTATTTGTGTTGTTGTTAAATTAAGATAATATCAAGGGAGAGTTATTAATTTAATTTTAATTCAATAATAACGAAAATGATTGTAAAGAAAATTATAAATACCACCTATCTTATCATATAAATTCATTTTAACACCTTTAAATTTTAATTCAATAAAACTATTAGTTCCTTAATTTTTAAATTAGAAAAATATTTAATAATAATCGCCTAATAAAATTATTTAACTAATTAATAGTTAATTAAATATATTTCATTAATTATTTTTCTCTACCTTAATATGTTAGCATGTCGATTATTTTGACTTTTTATTATGACCTTTTTGGAAAAAAAAAAGAGAGAAGAAAGAACTATGAGGATAAATAAAACATTTGACGGTAGTGTAAGAGAGTTATAAATGAAAAAAATATTTCTGTTTTTATTGTAAAAATATTTTTATGTCACACTCAAACAAAAGTAAGTGGGTCTCATTATAAAGAAAACAAAAGATTAGTGAAACTCACTCTATTAGTGAATGTGGCATATAAAAAAAGCTAAAATATAAGTTACTCCCTTAAACTTTGACTATGTTTCAAATTATCTCCTTGTACTTTTAATTGTTTCAATTAACCTACTGTACTTTATAGTTTCAAATCAACAATTCTGTTAAAAATTTTAGAAACAATGTTTAAAATTTGAGCAAACCTGAACTAAGTATTTAAAGGCAAGAGTGGCATCACTGCCCCCACGACATCTTCTATATGTGGTCTGGGATGCACTCTTACTCAACTTTCCTGACATAATTTGGTAATGACAGGAAAAACCGACAAAGTTCGTTAGCTCAGTAACTTATTTCTTCCTCATCTCATGAATATCCTAAAAGTTTTTTGAGAGAGGTTATACTTACTACAAGCATCATGATGTGTTTGTTGGATTCATGTAGTTATTTTAATTTACATAGTATGAATTTGTTTGTTGGATATGATGAAATATATGTTATTTAATTTGAGCATTTTGCTTTTAAAAATGACTTTAATGCATATTGTATGAGTTTTGTTGTGATTCATGATTCTGTTTGGACGTTAAAATTATGATTTTTGGTTTAGCAACAGAATTAAGTATTTTGTAAAGTTGATTCATGGTTCTACTTGGAAGTTAGAAATTAACAGGCTAACGGGCTACACCAGACCATTTGATTTTTTATAAACGAGTCAAGTCAGGCTAACAGTTAGACTCGTACTAAGCTTAGGCCAGGCCAAATTGAAATTTCTGGTGTAAGCTTGAACTTTTCGTGAGAAAGTTTGGCCCAGCCTACCCCACTTTCATCCTACTAGTGGATATTTCACCGCCCAAGCATATATCACTCATCACATCTTATAAGAAATAGTTGTGTAAATCTTATTTACATAAATTTGATGTATTAAATGGATTATTTATACAAATATTTATATCATGTAGGTAACAATTTAATTATTATTAATTAATTTAATCTAATAAACTTGTTTAAACAGACGTGTGTTTTTCCTTCACACCACCCACCTTCTTCCCCTGATCAACCGTATCAGCTATTCCCCTCATTCTCTACTATTTCTTCAGCTACAGACCCACCCTTTTCACCTTTGTTCCATTTCTTCATCTACATCTACATGGAGTATCTTTGATTTGAATTGCTGATTTGGGTAAACATTGAGTGTGTTTATATCATGTTGGGCTAAAATGACAATTTTATGACATCATTCCTGCTCCACTCCGTTTTAATGTTTAAAAATTACCAACTGTGTTTTAATCTTAATAACCTTTCTTTATTCTTTCTTCTTGATATGCAAATGAGAGAAAATCTCTTTTCTCCCCTTTTATTCCACCCTACGTTGAAAAGTTATCATATTATAATGCTCTCCTAAATCGTTTATAATCTTGAAGGGACCTGCACATAGCAAAGAACGAGAATCTTAACTGAAATTTTTTTGATAACCCTCCGTGAGTTTTTCTTTCAAGTTTTATGATTATGGCTTGCATTTAAATTTGGTTGGTAATTAGCCTTAGCACTCAGTACTTTGTAAATTGCCTTCTAGTAGACCACTATTTCTTTGTAACATTACTCTAATTGCTCTCATCAATTTCATATTTAATGAGAACGAAAAATTATACTCATAGATAAATCTTCTTACTACCTTTGAAAAATTATAAAAGTTCCGTGAAGCACTTGAGAATAAAATACACAAGTGGAAGTCCACGACAATTATGGCTATCGATGTGCAAAAAAAATAGTTGAAAACAATTTCCAGAAATCCAATCCGGGGGCCGAAACAGTAAGCCCAGAATTTTGTATTGTAATATAATCACATGAAAATCTAGACTTTTAACGAGACCTTTTTCATAATGTCCAAACCCAAATCCACAGTCATCGCAGATAGAATAAGGGTATGTCTTCGTCTTCAATATTATACTCTCCCTAGCTACACCATGATTCCTTCCTTTTCTTTTTGACTGACAAGTCCAAGATACTCATTTTCTTTCCATAACAGTGAAAGAACAAAAGGACTGAGGTTCACGTTGGGTTCACTTAACTTGAGCTCAAATGCTTCACTTTCCCATTCAAAAAAAAAAAAAAAAATTAACATCCAAATCCCCATATGCACGTTCCCCAAGATTAAAGTGACCCCATTTGGCATAACTTTGCCTTTAGTTTACCCCTTTTACAGTAATCAAAACCCCACCATGTATCAAATAATAGCAACCATTGGATCCTATTCCCTATTGCCAAAATTTCTACTCCCTCACAATCAAACAGAAGTTCATATTCTGTTTCTGTTGTTCTTTTCTGCAGCAATTAAGAGAAGCCTTGAGACACCCTGAGTCCATACATCATATTCTCTTTGATTTCTACACTCGAATTCAACAACACCACGCATTACTGTTTTCAACCCAAAGTAGCGGCGATTCTCACCGCCTTCCAGCAAGTGACGGCCTGGCCAGGCAGGCATATCTTTGATCACTTCAAGAACCACATCTGTAAATTCAAAAGAATGAATGGAATTAAAGAAGAACCCTTTTGATCTTTTCCAACTTTAGTGGCTATGACTTTCACAAATCCCCATATGGAACAAGACCCACCTCCAAATCTGTTGTCAAATAATTAGTTAGAGCAAGACAAAAGTAATGAAAACTCACTCTTTTTCTTTTTCTTGATGGTCCCAGCAACATGCCTGCTCTTCATTTTCAGCATAACCTTCACAAAAAGAAGGTCCAAAGACTTAAAGTTTGCAGTTTTCTAAAAAACCAAAATTAGTTGATCCCTTCACTTCATCATACTAAAGGTCCCCACCTCATAACTTTTTTTTTTTTTTTCCATGTCAGGTTTACACTCATCATTAACAATCTAATTGATGCCCAAATAATTAAGTAATTGGTCATCCCCTAGAATCAAAAGTACATTATTCTGGAATGGAGGGAAAAAGAGACTTACCTGATTCATCCTGTTTATATACACAGATACAATTTTCCAATGAAGATCACCTGCACCACCATATACCTAAATATTAGAAGGAAAAAATATGGAATTTCTTTTTCTCCAGCAACAAAACATAAAACTATGTCAAATTATGTAAAAGCAAGCATATTAGCAGAGAACATGAATAAAAAGCATTCAGAATCACAAATATCTTATAACATAGGAAGGTAAATTTCAGGAAATATACCTTTGCGTGTGCGCTTGAGGAGCTCACAACCTCTGGCTAGTAATTCTCTACTGCAGATACCCAAGAAATTTTCTTCTGGGGCAAGTTCACCGCTGAAGCTGCTATTAGAATTTCCATTGCTACCATTACCACCAGCACCACCAGCTCCCAAATTTTTCTCCACAGGAATTACTGCTGCAATATTCCAAACTTCCTTCAGGGCCCTCGCTTTCAATGTTGCAGCCCCACGCAAAGCTGAAATTCAAATTCAGGCCACAAAAAACAAACAGGGTCAAATTATCACGAAACAAAAAAATTACCATGAAAACTCCTATATTCAGAAAAAAAGAATGTTCCTTCAATTGTCATCACATGTCATTATCATAACATACCTGTTGCAGCCGCAGCGGTTAAAGTCATTATATCACCGGCGGATCTTACATTCACGGCGGAGCTAACCACCGAGGCAAGGTGTTCACGCTCAGCCCCCATAGCCTCAGCTACCTCCACGCACTGAGCCGCCACCAACGTGGCTGCCGACGCTACCGCCATGTCAGTCTTTGCCTTCTGCTCGTCTTTACCAGACCCCGACGAGGCGGCGGTGGCTGCAGCAATAGCCGCGACGGCGGCGGCGACCCCGGCAACAGAGACTGCCGCATGAAGCTGAGCATTTTGGGCCCTGGTTTCCTCTTTCTTCTTCTCCTTCCTGTCCTTAAGCCACCTCCCTACCGTCTTTCCGCCGCCGCCCCCGGCGACGGCGCCACCAGACGGGGAAGGCCTGATATGACTGTTTAAGTTGCCGGTGTTGTTATTGTTGTTGGCGCGGCTATACTGCAGATTGGAATACATAGAAAAAGCCATTGGCTTAAAATGGAAGACAAGATACAAAAGACATAAATATTCGTTTTCGCTCAAAACAACCTAGTCCTCGTTGTAACAAAAATTTATTTAACCCTTTGTTAAGACAAAGGTTTGTAACAAGAGCACAACAACAACAACCTTAGTGCCATTGCCATCCCTAGGCTAGGCCCAGCACCGGGAAGGGAAGGACCATCAGCCATTAATGCAGCAGGCCATGAGGGACGAATTTTGAAGGGGTACCCTACTACTAAATTAGGACAAGCTAGGACAGTTTTTTAGGGTGGTACTCAATGTGGGTGTTGTAACCAATTTGACAGGGGGGTGGGAGGGGGACCGGGTAAGTTAACCCATGGAAACGATGATTGTCCTAAAATAGAGGGTCAATATCAAATACCAAAATTTGCAGGTTTCATTTCACACGCTTTCTGTTAATCATACGGACATAATTTTTAATTTTTAGTGAATTATTTTCCCATTATTTAATGGGTATGTGGAAAATTTAGTACTTTAGTTATTAGTTTGTTTTTGAAATGTAATTTGCATTGGATGGAGCAAACTGCAAAGCCAAGGGTATTATGTTGCGTGGGTGTGATTAAATTAAAGGGTGCTTTGGTTATAGAGAAAGGGTTGTTAAGTACTTTTAACAGCGAGAGCAGTAATGTCAAAAAGTTAAAAAGAAACATACATGTACCTTGATATCATCAATTTCAGAGGGTGAAACAGGAGGACTATCGGTTAAGGAGCCACAACTCTGGGTTCCATTAAGAGGGCCACTACTGTGAGAGAGCCTCCCTGAGGTCCGTGGAGATACCTCATGCTGAGAAAGTGAAAGTTCAACAATTGCGTGAGTATTGCTTTACATGAGTACGATGAAAAATTTGATTCAAAAGAAAAATAAGCACAAGAGGTAGAACAAGCCAAGGTAAACAACAAACAGAATAAAGAACAAGACAAAACAAAGCTAGAAACCAAATCAACTTGTGTGACAGACAAAAAAACAGCACATAGTCCATTTCAGGCGTTTCTAATTGCAAGAACTGGATTTAATACTGACACGGAAAACCGAGAAAAATGAAGATGAAAAGTTAAACATCAAAGAGTTTTTTAAGCATGCTCCGTTCTAAATGAGCTTACGGATTGTGACATGATTCGTTCCATGACCATCTGAGATGTCTCGGAGGAAGCAAAAGAAAATGGGTTCCCAGAAACAGTGGCGGCTTCTTCCACTTCACCGGCTACGTCCTCCGGTATAGCAACGCCGCCATTGGATATAGCAGGAGAGAGAGCCTTGGAAACTTCAAGAGCAGAGACGCTCCATGAACGGGAGAGGAACTCCATGGGCTCGCGCGGCGTCTCCGGCGGCCGGAACATAGCGGCATGAAGCGGGTCGGGTCGCCAGTGTTCGGTTTGCCCCTTGTCCATTCAGGTTGAGAGGGAGAGAAAGAGTCAAGAAGGTAAAGATTTGAGAGTGAGAAATTTCATTTTTTTTTTTTTTAGAATACAGAGAGCGAGAGAGAGAGAGAATTGAAGTATGGTGAAAGTGTGGGGTGCGCGCTTTATAGAGAGAGAGAGAGAGCTGTGAGTGGAAAAGATAAGCATACAATACAAGAGAGACAAAGCAGCCGATTCTATTGTATGTCAGTTTTCAGTCGCAATAAAAGGTCAAATTTTTCATAAAATAAGAAACCAACAAAAATAATAATAAGAAAAGGAACTGGATTAGATGACATGATTCTGATGATTATAGTAATAACAATCGAGTTAATCTAAATTTAATAATTGCCTAATACTAATATTAATTAGTCATACTTCAATATACAATATGTTCTATTTTCTTTAACTAAAGTTCTTTTATTCTTTGTTTCTTGACTTAGCGGTCACGTGTTATTACAGTTGTGAAATTTGTTTATTCTGAGTAAGGTTGTTTCATCTTGTGATTTGATGATCATGAACTTTCATAATAAATCAGAATTTTTTCTTACTTATAAAAACAAGATGAAACAAGTTTGGTATATTTTTTGGTTTTGGTATATTGCAATTTGAATGTCAGTGAGTGATGGATGTACGTGGCCATGGAATAAATGGTACGGCTGTATTGAATTCAATTTGGTAGAGGCAACGACACCCAATAAAAGCCAAACTTCACTCACACTTGTTACCCTCTCTGCTTGGTTGGTTCTGTTTATTCTTGATTGGGGGAATTAAAGACATACTCGATTGTATTTAAAATAAAAAAGGACCTCCTCGATTGCTCATGTTCCTCCACCTAGAGAAACAACCAATTGCTTCTGTGCTGAAATTTCAAATGGCTACACTCCTTTGATTAGAATCGAACCCCCTATATAACTTTTACTATAAAAGTAAAAATAACTTCAGAGTAATAGCAAAGACAGATTGTTAAAGAAATGTTTCAATGCAGTATCTCCGAATGCTCGATATTTCGATCCACTTCCATGTATTATGTATAACGTGTGACATTGCTTTGGTGATCATTCTAAGTACACATTGCTCATGAGGTTGATTAATGCTTTTCCTCTTAAATTCAGCTTTGTAATAAATCGACCTCTGTTCAGGTAGAGTGAACATAAATAGGTTAAGAAATGTAATCCTCGAGTAGAAAAGCATAACTAAAAATACGGATAGAAATTACGATTATTTTTTTCATATTTACTCTATCTATTCATCTCCAACACTATTAGATCATAATTTTAAGAGGAAAGAAAAAAATGTAAAGTTTAATTGAGATTTTGATCTAACATGATTGGATATGAGTATGTAGTGTAGATATGAAAAAAAAAAAAAAAATATCATATTCCCTTTGCAAAGATATAAGAATAAGTGAAGTGAGTTATATAAACATTTTAAATTCAAATCAATGCTAATTTTTCAATAATAATTTTGAACAATAAAGAAAATAGCAAAGAAATAACACAAATAATTACACATAAAAAACTCTAAAAGGAGGGGGAACAACAACATCAAACTTATCCAATTGAGAGACAAATCCTAATGAGTCAATCTTAATTCAAAGTACAAAAATAGAACTTATTCTACCTTTATACAATAATTCAGGCACCTCAATTTATCCAAGTAAATTTGCACCCCAATTGTCAAACTCCTTACAATTGCAAACACACTTTCAGCTTAACTCTAGGCAATAAATATAATATCTCAACTATTACCAAGTAATTGATCCCCTATTGCCTACTTTGATAATAACTAAAATAAAATCACAAAAGATCTTAAATGAAAGTTACCTTACGCGCTTCTAATCAATAGACAAATAAGTACATATCAAACTGAGAGGTAAACTTAATGAATCTGTTCATGGTTTGATTGCCAAATTATTTTAAATGTGTCTTAACACGTTCAACGCGTCTTTTTCCTTTGAAAAAAGATTCAAAGTATGTTTTTATAGATTTTTCTCAAAATCAAATGCCAAAAAAAAATTAAAATTTTTTTGCACTAAATTTGTTTTTCAAAATTTTCATTAATTTTTTTAAGAAAACTTTATAAAATTACTTTTTTCCAAAAATAGAATCAAAATTTTCAAACGAATTTTTTAAAACATAAATTTCCAAAATTAAATAAAATAGATTCAAGTCTTCTAAAAGGAATTTAAAAAATCAAAATTCAAATCTTAGAATTGTTAGATTAAAAAAAATCATTTTCTTTTCTTAGTTTCTAAAACTTTAGGATTCAGTCATCTAACCATTGCATTAAATTTAAGATTTTATCTTATAATTTCAATTTTCACGTTTCACAGTAATTTTGTTAGAATTACTTTTTCATAATTAATCACAAATCAGATCCTGCAATAAACTATTAGATAATTTAACATTTCATAATCATTAAAACAAGACAAGGTACGGGACCCAACAAGCCTAGGACATGTTTGGTGCATAGTATAGGATAGTATAAGATAAGGCCTGATTGAATTTTAATACTATTTAGCGTTTGGCACGATATGTATTGTATACAATAATATATTGTATAAGATAATATCATCTAGTATTTGGTGATGCACTGTATAATACTATTAGGATAAAAATAAATATTTTTAATAAAATATCCTTTAATAAAGAATTTATATAATTCTTTAAAAAATGTCATATGATATTGATTTTTTATAAAAATTTATTGATTAGTGTGTCCAAAACATAAATTAATTTTTTTTAAATAAAAATATTCAATATTTTAAAAATTAATATATTGAAAATTTAATTTAATTTTAATATATTAATATTAAAATAATATATTAATTTTTTAGAATTACACTGGTCAACGATGTTAATACACCAACCTCTTATCAGGCCTTATCCCTCCCCCTTAAGCCGGATTAAGTTATACATCGTTTTGATATATTAAGGGATCCTACTGTATAAGCTTATACTATACGATGGTCACACCAAACAACTGAAAATGTCATAACTGTTGAGATATATAGTCCCATATTGGTTGTATGAGCAACTAATGTGGAGTTTATAAGGTCTTGGGCACTCCCACCCTTTGAGCTAACTTTTGGAGTGGTGTATCCCAAGGTTCTTTAAATGGTATCAGAGCTTAAGTGACTACAAGGTCACAAGGGTGTTAACGGGCCGAGCCGAGCCGAGCTTAGCTTTGGTCTTAAAAGGCTAAGCCTGTGATTAAATGTGTCGGCCTTACCAAGCCTGTTATCATTTACGAATATAATTATCGGCCTGTGGCCTGCTTTATTTACAAAAAATAAAAGCCTAATTTGACCTGTTAGATTGTTAGAAAAAAATAAGACAATAAAGATTTATCCAAACAAAATATACAATCAACAACACTAATAATTCCATAAATATTCATAAATTCATTGTATATCGAAACAACATAATATAGAACAAAATCATTCAAAAAGTCTGTTTAACTAATAAAATAGAGGTGAAATGGATTGAGAAGAGAGAGATGGCTATTACAAATAGTATAAAAATATAAATTAAAATTAATATACTAAGCCAGCCTGAGAGGCTCCAAGGCCGAGCTTTTGAATTAGAGTCTGAGGCCTTTTTACTAAACGAGCTTTTATACAAGTCCAAGCCTAGTTCCAACAACCAATATTAGGCATGTAAGCCTGAGCCTTCACGAGCCGAGCCAAAGGCCCCTGGCTCGTTTATCACCCCTAATCCTCACTGCCTCCCACTTTAAAGTGGAATTAAAATAAAAAGCACAAAACCAAAAATTGGGCCTGTGCATAATCCACGCTTCAAGCCCAGTGGGTTCTCGTGTAAAGGAGTGTGTTGAGATATATAGTCTCACATTGTTTGTATGAGCAACTAATGTGGAAATTCACGTTTCAAGCCCAGTGGGCTATTGTGTGAGGGGGCGTGTTGAGATATATAGTCCCACATTGGTTGTATAAGCAACTAATGTGGAGTTTATAAGACCTTGGAAACTCTCACCTTTTGAGCTAGCTTTTGGGGTTGTGTATCTCAAGGTTCTTTAAAATAACGTATAGTATAAACTTATACTATCAAATCTTATACGTCACGAGACATTTATATGTTAGTCTAAATAGGGGGGATTGTTACTATATTTTTCTGTGGTGGAGTTCAGAAAGGACAATGGTGATCACCCCTGAAGTTCATCTAAACATTTGTCTTAAACCCGTTATTTAGACTTAAGTGAGAAAGATAGTATAATAGTAACATAAGATCGTCCCCCACGAACTCAAAATTCGAGTTTTCTGCCTTATTATTTCTCTGGGAAGGAAATTTAAAAAAAAAAATTCAAATCTAAATTAATATTAATCCACTACGGTGTTACCGTATTTAAATTAGTGTGAATTTTATTTGATTCACTCCTCTCACAAATTTTTTTCGACTCCGCGATCTCACGAACGAACAGATATTTTGTCATGACATTCAATTAGACACGATTAGACGTTATAATTGGATCACATATTTCTTCGTTTAAAGTTTTAATTATAATACTGCTACTCGTCTAATATGATGGACAAGGACACCTTTCAATAACCACGAGACTATTGGCCATAACGCACTTAATCGGATTATGACAACACCAAATCAATAAATTGTAAAAATTTTAATAGCAATGAACAATAATAACAAGGAATTGTTACTATCAAAATTATTGCTGGAAAGAATGCTATGTCCTATGTGACAACTTGGTATTCATTTCTGCGAGCTATTTGGAGTTGAGCTCATATGCGGGAGATAGATACAAGTCACACAACCCGGAGCACAGCGCATCATGGTGGACTCATAGGCAATTCTAGTGGATCTTTTATCCCAAACAATATTATTGTTTTGCATAGGAATCTAAGCTACAATCTTCCACCCCATTGTGTTTACTCGGAACATGATCTCAATTAAACAAGTAGAAATGAATTATTAATATTCTAATTTATTTAGATAACTAAAAAAATGTTTGAAGTTGATCAAATTTAATAGG